CTGCCCACTCCAAGTGTTTTTGACCGGATTGGGATCACACCCCATGATAGAGCCAGACAGAGAAACTACCACAGACCTGTCCAGTCCAGCAGAAGAATGACCAAGCAGCCCAAGGAGGAAATATCAATAAAAATGCCCGGAAGTGAGAAACCTTTGGCAGCCATCATTGAAGGCAGGTGGTATTCTGTCGGGAAGAATGGCAGGCCAACAAAGGAGCTAACAAGAACTCAAAGGAGGAGGGTTCAGAGACAGTACTGCACATTCCTCAATAACAAGAAAAACGCACAGGTGCTTCCAGTGGCCTATCTCTCAACCACAGGGGTTGACAAAAGCAGAATCCTCAGAAAAGCCTTCTATCCATCCTGCTTCCATCTCAGAAGATCTACTTAAAACTCCGCAACCAGAGGAAAAAACTGATCCTATTCCAGGAGAAGGACAAGAAGACTAGGCTGAAGAGTATGAAGAAGAGCAGCTGGATTATGAACCATCTGCAGATGACCGGAATGCGCCCCTCGAAACAGAAGAACTGGGAGAATGGACAGAGGAGTACGGTGGAGAACAGATGGATTATGATGGAGAGTTGGATGCAGAAACTGAGGCCTTTGGTGCAGAATTGGAGGACTTGTTACGTGCCGACCTAGGCATCAATATGGTGTTCATTCTGCCAGAAAAGTTCTGGGCGATAGAGGGACAGAAAAGCACTTTGGACGGAGATGTATTTTCCCAAGAAAGTTTTGAATGCAGGTTGGTAGAAGCGGAAAAGATGCCAGAACAGCAAGCAGGCAATCCCAGGACGGAAGGAACCACCAACAAGCTGGCTACAGGTCAGCTTTGCTTCTCCAAACCAACCAAAGAAATGGCAAACCACCTCAGACCCTTGTTTATAACAGCAAACTTTGGGGGTGTTTATATCCCCAAAGTTATGGTAGATGGAGGTGCAGCTATCAACCTTCTGCCTCATAGAATGTTGAGCAAAATGGGTAGGACAGAAAGGGATTTAATTCCAACCCGCTTGACCGTCACCAATTTCGCAGGGGGCATCACCAAAACTCTTGGGATCCTGGATGTGGACGTTTTAGTAGGAATCAAGAAGCTGAAGGTTGCATTCTTTGTGGTAGATACTACTTCTACCACTTACAGTGCACTGCTTGGCAGAGACTGGATTCATCAGAGTCTATGTGTTCCTTCCACTCTTCATCAACAGTTAGCTTTATGGAATGAAGAAGGCTACATGGAGATAATAGAGGCCGATCCACGGCCATTTCTACCTTCTGCCATGTGTTGTGAGGCAAGGTACTATCATGATGACCTTGGACCTTTCACCTTTTTTGGAGTCAACCAGAACGGCCGCCCCCATGGTGTCACGGCCCAGAGGCTCATTGAAGAAGGTCTAACCAACTCTTTGGAGGATTGGAACAGACCTTTTGTCCTAAACTTCCAAAACTCCGATGTTTAGTCCCAATCAACAAGAAAAGGATCGAGCTGCAATAATCCGATCCATTACAAAGAGATTGTTGATATACTGGGAGGAAATAAAGCTTTTTGTGCAGAATCCAGCCATCAATATGGCAGAATTCACTCATGAAAGCACGGAAGGCCAGGAGGAAGAAGAACTACAGGAGGAAGTGTTAGATTTTGCACCAGCTGCACTGGATGACTCTCTGCCAGAGGTAGAAGACCCTTTGCAGGAGATAAACTTAGGAACCAGGGAGGATCCAAGGCCTACCTTTATCAGCGCACTATTGAAAGAACCACTTAAGAATGAACTCATTGCACTTCTATAGGAGTTCAAAGATTGTTTTGCTTGGCATTATCATGAGATGCCAGGATTAGATAGGGGGTTGGTAGAACACAGGCTGCCAATCAAAGAGGGATACCTTCCAGTCAAACAGGCCAGAAGAAGGATGTCCATGGACACAGAACTGAAAGTCAAGGAAGAAATAGAAAGGCTGCTCAAGGCAGGATTCATCAGGCCAGCCATCTATGCTGATTGG